GGGTAAACACATATCCCGAGGTTGACTTTCTTGAGTCAATATCTCCTTGGAAATCTGAGTTTGTGTAACCAACGGTTTCAAGACTCCCACTACAATAGACCAACATATAATCTCTTGTTCTCCGTAGGTACTTGAGTATATGTTTAACCGCTATCCAGTGTTCCTCTCCAGGATTAGATTGGTACCGGCTTACTACTCCCACTGCATAGCAGATATCTGGTCTGGTGCACAGCATAGCATACATGGGACTACCTACCGCTGAAGCGTAAGGTATCCTACTCATGCGTTCTTTCTGCTCAGGAGTCTTAGGAGACTGCTCCTTAGAGAGATGAATCCCATGCCTGAAGGGTAGAATTCCCTTCTTGGAATTCTACATGCTGAACCTGGCAAGTATTTTGTCAATGTAGTTAGCCTGGGATAATGCCAATACCTTATTCTTACGGTCTCGCAAGAATTTAATACCAAGAATATAATTGGCCTCTCCCAAGTCCTTCATATCAAAATGCTTGCTCAGCCAGGTCTTTATGCCTGACAATACCTCTGCATCATTTCCGATGAGGAGAATATCATCCACATAAAGCACTAGAAAAGATATTGCGTTACCTTGGATCCTTTTATACACACACGGCTCATCAGGACTTTTCAAAAAACCATAAGACTTAATAGCTTTATCAAATCTGATGTTCCATGCTCTGGATGCTTGCTTAAGTCCATAGATGGACCTTTGCAACTTGCATACCATATCTTCTTGCCCTTTGGCTATGAACCCTTTTGGTTGCTCCATATAGATATCCTCTTCCAAATTTCCATTTAGAAAAGCAGTTTTGACATCCATTTGCCAAATCTCATAATCAAGATTTGCTGCAAGAGCTAAGAGAATTCGGATGGACTTGAGCATGGCAACTGGCGAAAAGGTTTCTTCATAATCCACACCTATTTGGGTGTACCCTTTCCCCACCAATCTAGCTTTGAAGGTTTGAACCTTTCCGTCCGATCCTCTCTTTCTCTTGTAGATCCACTTGCATCCAATGGGTCTTGCCCCTTTAGGTGCTTCTACAAGAATCCAAACTGAGTTAGAATGCATAGATCCCATCTCACGATTCATAACCTCAAGCCATTCCTGAGCATCAACATCTTCTAGTGCCTTGTCATAACTAGTGGGGTCATTATCTTCCTCAATGACGACATCTTGACTCAATTCACCCAACAAGAGATATCTTGCTGGCTTACGAATCAATCTCCCACTACGACTGAGCTGCACTTGTTGTTGAGCATCTACAGGATGATCCAAGTCTGGTGGGTTAACAATTTCAGGAGGAGGACCCTCATTCATTTCTGGATAAACCATTTGATGTTGTTCTACCACAAGCGGTGACTCCACTTGTTGTTCATCATGTTGAATTTCTGGTTCTATTTCTGGTTCCTGTGTATGTTCAACTTTGGGCATATTTTCCCCTCTTTGAACAAATACAGGAATAAAAGCTGGAACCCCTTGAGGTTGAGACGAAACTTGATCCGAGTCTAGCTCATCAAGTATAACCGTACTCCTCGGCTTGTGATTTTCCATATAGTCCTCCTCTAAGAAAGTCGCATGTGTACTCACTAAGACCTTCTTTTCTTTCGGACTATAAAATAACCAGCCTCTGGTTCCTTTAGGATAGCCTATAAACATGCACACTTCTGTACGAGAGTCCATCTTATTTGGCTTCTGTTGTAAGACATGTGTCGGAGCACCCCAAATCCGAATATGGTTCAAGTTGGGCTTACACCCTTTCCATAATTCTATTGGAGTCTTTAAAACAGATTTTGATGGAGCAAAGTTCAAAAGGTACATAGCAGTTTCTAAGGCATATCCCCAGAATGAATCAGGCAAAGGTGAATAACTGAGCATCGATCTTGCCATCTCTAAAAGGGTTATATTTCTCCTTTCAGCTACTCCATTCTGCTGGGGTGTCCCAGGAGAAGATAATTGTGAAACTATCCCCTCTTTGGTCAAGTAAGACCTGAACTCGCCAGATAGGTATTCACCCCCTCGGTCAGACCGAAGAGTCTTAATTTGAACACCAAGATGCTTTTCTGCCTCAGCCTGAAACTCTTGGAATTTTCCAAAAGCCTCAGACTTGTGACGCATCAGGTACACATGTCCAAATCTAGAGTAATCATCAGTAAATGTGATGAAGTACTGATACCCGCCTCTGGCCTGGACATTCATTGGTCCACATACATCAGTATGTACCAATTCCAGCTGAAGTGTGGCACGATTCCCTTTGGTTTTGAAGGATCGCTTAGTCATTTTTCCCTCTAAACAAGATTCACATACTGGCATTGGTTCAAAGTCCAGGGATTTTAATATCCCACTTTTCACCAAACCGTGTATCCTGTTAGAATTAATATGACCCAATCTCAAATGCCAAAGGTAAGTTTCATTGGAAACTTTTCTTTTCTTTGAAGAATGAGTATGCTCATCATCCTCTAATTCAACATGATTAATTTCACAGGGTGCAGGACTAAGGAAATACAGACCATTAAACAATTCACCGGAACAGATAAAAGAAGATGAACTTCTAATATTAACTGAGGAATTAAATTGAACTGTCAAACCATGTTTAAACAAACAACTAACAGAAATCAAATTCCTCTTAAAATCCGGAATAAACAAACAGTCTTCCAAAACCAAAGTTCTGCAATTATTAAAAGATAAAATAACTTGTCCTACTGCTAGTGCAGACACAAGTTCCCCATTGCCAAGCTTCAACACTCTTTGTCCTTCACTGATCGGCAAGCTATGTTTGAACCACTGCAAAGAGCAACAAACATGGTTAGTGGCTCCTGAATCAATGATCCAAATATCATTGTAATTCTCCACTAAACAAGCCTCAATCACAAATAAATTACCCATACCTTGCTTATTCACACGAGGGCAATTTTTCTTCCAATGCCCTTGTTGTCCGCATTTGAAGTACTTGCCTTTCGGCTGCCTCACTGCAACAGGTCTGGCTACTGGAATCCCTGATTTCTTCTTTTTCTTGTTCTTTTTCTTACCCTTGGGTTTCCCCTTAGGTTTACCAGAACTCTCACCAACATGAAATGCACTGCCCTGCTTGACCAGAGACTGTTCAACACTCTCAAGCTCGTGCATCAGCTGAGTGAGATCAAGATTGAACTTGTTCATATTATAGTTCATCTTGAACTGACTGAAGCAATCAGGGAGTGATTGTAAGAGAAGGTCAACTTTCACTTCTTGTTCAAACCTAACCCCATGATCCTCAGCTTTCTTGAAGTTTGCAATCATTGACAAACAATGATCCCGCACACTTCCTCCAGACATTACTGTCTTAGTGACAGCATTCAGCGCAATCTACCTAGCAGAGCTGCTAGACGTAGCAAACATGCCATCAAGAGTCTGGAGCATAGCTGCCCCACTCTTAATCATGTTTACCTGCTCCTGAAGGTGACTGGCAAGACTGGCTAAAATGTAACAGCGAACTGCCACATTTGCCTTCTCCTTCTCATGCTGAAATTGTGCCTTTGTTGCCTCAGGCGCATCTTCAGCAGGCTGCGCTGGTATAGGGGTGGTCAGTACAAAGTTGAGCTTTTCGAATTGTAGAACAATATCAAGATTAGTTTTCCATTGTTTGTAATTGGTACCATCCATAGGTTTTTGGCTCAAAATAGTTGCTAAAGGATTGAATGAAGACATTTTTCTGGAAAAACAGTCAAAGCACACTAATTACAAACTAGTATTAACAACAAACAAAAAATATCGCTAGTAGATTCTAATAACTACTAATTGTTTATTGTTGAACAATCCATTAGTTATCTTTACAAGGCTTACGATGGGCAAGGTACTTGTAAAACTAACATTATTATTTGGGCCTTTAGTTCCATTGCTAGAGCCTCGATGGGAGGGTTAACAACTTTACCTAAGTTGAATGTTTTTAACCATTGTTTACTTCCAAAATTATCTTTAGTGTCTAAGTGTTGCCAACGATGGGCCGTACAAAACTTTACTAAAATTTCGAAAATATTAAGGTTTAATCTAGTGAAATCCGATTATCCTTATCCGATGGGGCTTCAGCGATAACCATTCACTAATAAACCCACAATTGGAGCCCTTAGGTTTTTGAAAACTTAATTTTAAAAAACCTTAACCCATTCAATATTTTAAAATTTTAGAATTTTCCAATTTCCAAGAAATTTTTAATTCGAAAATAATTTTGTTTGATTTCCAATCCGGTCACTTTACGTCAGCGTGTGCTCCACACATTCATGATACATGAATGTTGTATGCATCGTGTGTTATTCCATGACCATTTCAGAAAACTCACAAAAATTTATTTTCTTCAAACAATTTTCTCTTAGGAAATTATCTTGCTAATTTGTTTTGATTTTAAACTCCAAAAATAATCAATTTGATTATTCTAGATTTTACCAAAATCATAATAATTAATTAATTTTCGAAATTAATATAACCATTAATCTAGATTTTGTTTCTAAAATCATAATCATAATTTTATTTAACCGGAATATTTAAAATCAAAAATTACGCGCATAAACTATCATACTAGTCGGTAACGACATAATAGTAAATATGCACGTATGACATGTGATCATGCAACAATATGGCACCTTCCTATCCTATATGACATGATATCGCAAATATCATGTTAATCGCACATATAATTCATACCAATCAATAAAAGCATTAAATAATAAATTCTAATTACTTTAATCCATGGTCTTCCTATTTTTTTTTAAAAAAAATAAAATAAATAAAATAAAATAAAATATTACAACTTTGGAATTCAACTTTCGCCTAGCCCATAGTATCTGTCTCAAGCCCCTTTAGGGTTTCCATGGATTAAAGTATTTTTACCGATTAAAATTTAAACTTTTATGAAAAAGAACTATAAACAATCAACATGAATTTAAATAACAGAATGAAGGTGCCATATTTTCATAAATCACAAAAAAAATGAATAAATCAAAACTGATCTTAATCCCCATCACAATCCGGCTCTGATACCAATTGAAGGTATATCATCAGAAACGCGGAAGCGCATCGTACCGATGCGATAAGGAATGAAGAACACCGCTTTGATTACCTGGGGTGAAGAAGCGAGCGTGACGATTCCTCACGTTCAGTTCTCCTTCTACGACTCACGATCTGCAGCAACCACCACGAACGGTAGGAAAATCCACTCTGCGGTTGATCTTCCAGGCTATGACTCAAGGGGATCAGGGAGTCGTGTGGGCAACCGTTCAGATGATGAACGTCTGCCTCTTTGTGTTTCTGATGTCTGTAACCCTAGGAGGCAAAGGGAGAAAAGTGTGCTTATATACCTGCCCAATCCAAAACTAACCCTAAGTTTCATGGGTTAGAATTAGTCTTTGGGCTCATCTCACTAAAGCTATCGGGCTTAAGTGAAAAGAGCATACTTAAACCCAACAAAATTGATCCGTTCAGCCTCGTTAAATATTCAACTATGCCCTGTACAATGCAAATATTTGAAAGTTTTTATTTTCAACTCTTAAGTTGTCAAACAAATGAGCGTGGATATATGCAAAATTGATCCGTTCAGCCTCGTTAAATATTCAACTATGCCCTGTACAATACAAATATTTAAAAGTTTGAAACGAACCCAACAGTGGATGTAGGGCATACGATCCTGGCATTAAGATTAGGTTAGACTTTAGAGTAATTTAAAAGAGTCTCCAATTTGCAAGAAATCATCAAATTGAAAGAAACAAAAAAGGAGTTTCCAATGAAATATGATTCACCAGATTTATTCTCCAGACATTGACAACACTCCCAATAAAAATAAGCACCAAAATCCAACAGTAGCAGACTTTTGGGCCTAGCCTAATGCACAAGTGCACATTTTCACCCTTTTTAAGATAAAGGTTGTACAATCACCAGGTACATGAGCATACATTAATACCAATTTTCTACATCAAACAGCAGTAAATCTTAATTAAAATGATAAAATTTTAAAAAAACACAACAGGTAAAGCATTATAAGTTCCTCAATGCAAAATAATATACCTGTAGGTCCCCCGACATTAACCACAAGCAACGGCTTTGGCAGAGTTGCTAACTCATCATGCCAAGCAGAAGCAGCAACCCTGAGAGCAGTGGAATCAGCTTGATGAAGCGCTCCCACAGTGAGGACCTGTAAAAATGTAAAATCAGTGACCTTCAAGATAGGATAAAAAGTAAACATTTCAGCATAAACATGACAACCATAAAATGTTGTTCTTAGGCAGAGACATCACTAGAGCTACCACTCAACCACAATACCTACCACATTGCGGCCAGGAGGTTCCCATGGAGTGACCCACCTCCGAAGAAACCAAGGTATTTGCTGTTGGGCATGAGGAGTCAGCGGATAATAATCATGGCGTGGAGTAATAACAAGATCAAACCTACTCAGGTGCCATCTTGGATGTTGTATCTGAATTGGGCATGGGCATCTAGGAGAGTTAGAAAGCAATATACATAAAGTATGTATGCATTAATCTATTATACATAATCTACGCACATATGGAATGGAAACGGAAAAATTATCAAAACACGCACCAAAGAGAAATAGGCATTTCATGTTAAACCTCAAAAGAAGCAAAATAAGAATAGTGGGGAGGGGGAAAGAAAAAAAGGAAATTGATTATTTCACCTAAAAGTTATAAGAGTTCATACAACTTATAACAAAGGTACTTAGATGGCATTCAATCATTATATATGATTCAAGGGACAGAAAAGAATAAAGTGCAAAGTTTAACCTGAACAAGAAAAACATTTTCTGGAGCTAACCGTTTAATGGAGCTGGCAACAGAAATGGTGTCTCGTCCAGATGCAACCACCAACAAGGGGCCATCCCTAGGAATAAAGTAATTGAGCATTTCATTAATCTCATTCTTTCTTATAGAACTCAATTTACCAGAAGCATAACTAGAATAGAACAATCACAACAACATACTTGCGAAACGTTTCACGTGCCACTGTTGCAATGTGGTGAGCATCAGCTTCTAACACGTCAGATATACCTGAACAGAACTAGCATCATTTTAATGCTCAAAAATTACAGAGACTGGCGTATAGTATGAAAGGGAAACGTTACCTTTCGATGTTTGAAAGCGTGAATTGCCACATAATTTTCTGATAACGTATTCTATCTTTTTATGGAGAGAAACCGGAAGCCAACGAAGCCACCTATTGATTCCTCCTCGGGGCCTCGTCACGCGCTTCAACAACAACAGAATTCAATTCAATTCAGTTCTATAAATGTAACGTAGAAAGGAAGGCACAAGAAGAAGCTTACGTATAAGGAGTGGCGATTGGAGAGACCGAGAGCACGGACCAATCCAATGCATTGATTCTCAGCGCCGGCGAATCCGTTTCCGATTACAACGGCTCGCCGAATTGCACCGTCCAAGATCTCAGGCATAGCTTTCATTCCAATATTCAAATGTGAAAAAAGGAAGGGAAAGAAGGGAACAGGTCATTTTCTGGGCCCAAGCCCTAAGTCCTATAAGAAGGCCCGGCCCAACAAAAAGGCAAAGGTAAGAAAGAAAGAAGCGCTTTGAACTGTGACGCTGACAGAAAGAACGAGTTGAGCAAAAAATGTGGGCAAGCGCCGAAGGTGGTTCTCCGGAGGTTACTCTAGAAACTTCCATGGGTTCCTTCACCATCGAGGTAGGCACGCTTTATCAACATTCTTAGTATTGGGTCATCAAAATTCTATTTTTTTATTTATTTATTTATATAATTTTGGGTTTAGCTGTACTACAAGCATGCGCCGAGAACTTGCAGGAACTTCATAGAACTATCTCGCAGAGGTTATTACGACAACGTTAAATTCCACAGAATCATCAAGGTATTACCCACTTTCCTCGTTCCCCTTCTTGGTTAATATTCTTACATAGAATAATGTGGTCGGTGCTGTAGGACTTCATAGTACAAGGTGGTGATCCCACTGGAACAGGAAGGGGAGGAGAATCCATATATGGGTATATGACATAAACTTTGGATTATTATTATTATTGTTGTTGAAATTTGGTTACTTGATGATTTATTACTTTGCTCATGTTATTGTTTAAAACAGTCCAAAATTTGAAGATGAGATTAAACAAGAGTTGAAGCACACTGGAGCTGGTATCTTGTCCATGGCAAATGCTGGACCAAATACTAATGGTAGTCAGTTCTTTATTACTCTGGCACCCTGCCCCTCTCTTGATGGTAATATTGTGCTTCTTTCTACTTTAGAATTTAGATATAGAAAGCCACTGCTATTAGAATTTAGAGAAAAGCTCACCTTCTGGTTTGCTTCACCTATGCCCTTGTGGTTTTGTGGTTTTTTATTTATCACATATGCCCCTGTAGTTTGTAAAAAGTAAAAAACCACATGAGCATATATGATAAAAAACATACCTCACAGGGGCATATGTGATAAAAAAAAACCACAGGACATAGGTGATTCTGGAATAAACCTGAACTTTTCCCTAGAATTTATTACTTGTAGATCCATGTTGACAATTTTCTTTTATCACTGCATTTCGAGGATTCTGTGTTCAAATGCCATCCTTTTTTCATTCAAGTTACTTGAGAATTATATGCATGTTGCCAAGAGTACTGGTTTATGGACACATCAACTATGCACATTGCACACGAATTGTCTCACAAGTAATGGGTTAAGCCTTGAATCTCCTTGATTGTGTCTGCTTTTTAACTCACCTGTCAAAAGAACTATGGTGCATGGATCACCAACATGGCTAGCCTATATGATACGACTTCTTGCTTATGTTTCATATATTTTCTACTTTATTGAGTAGATCCCCGCATGCATATTTGTAGCGCACATTTTCTCATCTAACTGCATATTATTTTTCGTCCTTTTGCATTAATTTCCTTCACCAAATTGGTAAGAAAACAAAACGAGAGGGGCTCTTATTTTCTCTTTTAGAAGTTGTTTGAGTTCTCTAATATCATCTCTGCATTAAGTAAACATAGACTTGCAGTTCTACTTAGTACTTTTTCATTGATTACTGGAGTTTAGTCTAGTAAATTTTTAGCCATAACCTTGGCATCAGAATGGTTAATTGACCAAGTTTGGGTGGTTAGTTTATGATTAATCATTCTAATTCATATAATGAAATTTCTGGAAGCCTAATGATACTGTTTCTGTTTTAACCAGGAAAACACGCAATATTTGGAAGAGTATGCCGGGGGATGGAAATCATCAAAAGACTTGGCAGCGTCCAAACAGATAATAACGATAGGTATGTCAAATATGTTTCAAAATAACCATTTGAAATAGATACTATACATAAACCAACAATCTTGCCAAGAATTAGTCTAATAATGACACTCTGAAATTAGCAGCAAATCAATTGACAACAACATTAACTTGGGGCATTGGGGACCATAAACCTGCTGACTTTGGATTATGCTATGCTTGGTATACTAAAGAATGATACAATTTACACCGTTTTTTTTTTGTCATCTGGGGTATGGATTTAAGTGTTGCACCTGCATTGTCACAATTAGTTTTCATGATTCTTCTGTAAATACATGATTACTGGGGAATTTATGGCCAATGAACCCCTATCAGAGTCTATGAATTGAAAAAATATGGGAACAAAAGGAAGAAAAAGGCAACACTATAGTTTTGAAATGGGCTACAGGGGCTTACGGCCTAGCTTATATTAGGCCAGATTTGGCCGATTATATATAGTCAAATAGAGCAGGTCTAGGCTTTTAAAAAAATATATTTAAAGTTTTTTTTTTTCCACGTGTCGGGTGTATAAGCTTACAGGTCGACCTATATTATATTATTTATTTTAAATAAAACAAATAAAATTATTATTTTAATAATAAAATGATATTATTTTAATTATTTTTTTATTTATTGAATATTTAATAGGCTTAAACAGGCTAAAAGGTCTAGGTCAAGACTTTTGCTTTTTTAACTATAGGTCAGACCAGACTTATAATTTAGCCCTACACAAGGTCAATCTGCGAAGTCATGTCTAAGATATTTTACACAAGCCTTGGCTATTTAAGCCAAAATCTAACTTAGCTTAACCTATTTACACCCCTAGTTGTCGACCTATATTATATTATTTATTTTAAATAAAACAAATAAAATTAGTATTTTAATAATTTTTAATAATAAAATGATATTATTTTAATTATTTTTTTATTTATTGAATATTTAATAGGCTTAAACAGGCTAAAAGGTCTAGGTCAAGACTTTTGTTTTTTAACTATAGGTCAGACCAGACTTATAATTTAGGCCTACACAAGGTCAATATGCGAAGTCATGTCTAAGATATTTTACACAAGCCTTGGCTATTTAAGCCAAAATCTAACTTAGCTTAACCTATTTACACCCCTAGTTGTCGACCTGTATTATATTATTTATTTTAAATAAAACAAATAAAATTATTATTTTAATAAAATGATATTATTTTAATTATTTTTTTATTTATTGAATATTTAATAGGCTTAAACAGGCTAAAAGGTCTAGGTCAAGACTTTTGTTTTTTAACTATAGGTCAGACCAGACTTATAATTTAGGCCTACACAAGGTCAATATGCGAAGTCATGTCTAAGATATTTTACACAAGCCTCGGCTATTTAAGCCAAAATCTAACTTAGCTTAACTTATTTACACCCCTAGTTTTGACAATTAGATTATGTCATAATAGGGGTTCCATGAAACAGAATTCATGAAAAACATTCTTCGATCTACATTGTAAGCTAAAACGGGGGCTTTCTTTGAGCTTCCTTTGTGAACTTATTGAAAAATCATTGAAGCATTTCTAATTTTCACTTTCGACTTATCAGGCCCATCCATGACGTGAAGATACTACGGACATCAGTCAAGGATTGAGATGAGTTGCATGATATTCATATGATATGAAGAAACTGTAATTTTATTATCAATTTCTGGTGGAAGTATGGCTGGAAGTATCATTGCCTATTTGGCTTCAAGCTTATTTGTAAGAGTTGTATGTAGTTTTCTGCACTAGTCACCAACATACTGAAGACATTACTTTTACCCCGAAGACCATGATTTTAACCTGCAGTTTGAGACAATATTTACAACAAAAGAAAACTTCAATTTGATATAGTTTCCATTGAGCCTGATAATCTGTAGAATCGTAGAAAAGTTAACCTGGCATGCGAGGATACTTATACACGTTATCTAAAGCGGATCAGTTAATTTTCCATTTCCGTTTTTATTTTAAATAGCCGAGCTACATGATTTGGACGTTATGCAGCGTTGGTGACCACGATAGTTCCGATAGATATCTAACCCGGGCAGACTTCACAAGTGAGGTACACATATGCACATGCTGGCTGATCATGATACTCGCGGTTTCCTTCAAACTTGTTTTGGGATCTGTACATTGTACCCTAAACATATTAGGGGCCCTTATCAAAGGTTTTGTTTAAAGATTTAATATGTTGTAAAAGATAAAATTATGTCTTACATATATATTTACATATAAAAATATATAGAATTTATATTTATTTTTTTCTATTCACATGTCCCATATAAAATTCAACCTTACGTATATATAAAAAAGATAATTTTATTTCCTATATCAAACCCTTTGATTAATTAGCATGGTGATTATTATTTTTTGGTACATGTTAACACAACAATCTTAAGTTTATTCATTTCCTGCTCTTTCATATGAAAGCCTTACACATTTACCCAACGAAAAATGCCATGTTAAAATAGACGGACAAGAACCCTTGCTCAAGGTGAATATATATTACACAAGATTTACAGAACTATTATAATTCAGGGGGAAATTGTGTCACTGGCTACAGCTACCGAAAGATTGCAGTTACAGGCTACAGCTCAAGGTAGCATCTCCTCGTTGCACATCCACTTCACTCAAGGGAACATATAGTTGTTAACTGTTGCCGATAGCTTTCCCATCCCCCCTCACCCCCCAAAAAATGTAATTTATGCAAGTCAACCTTGTGTGATGCTGTGGTTTCTCCAGCCTCTTCCAGCAGCATTCACAATATACACCATGCAACCTAATAATGCACCTATTGTAATAAAGTTCAACATCCTGGAATCGCTAAAAGGATTCTCAGACGAAATTCAACCTGAATTCGTCTTTCCTTGTTTACTACTGTCATTCAATGACAGGCCGTTTTCTTCGCAACTGAGTATATTAAGCTTTGACGGATGCATTGAATTAAATCCATTGGCCTTGACAGATCCAGAACTGTCCTCCCTTGAGTTTGAAATCCTTATTGGCTCAGAATTCTTATTGGATGAGTCACAAGTACCAACTGGTTGTTGCAACAATTCCATGCGTTTCAAGGATGGAACATCTCCTTTACAATACCTAAGCCACACTTTTCTATATGTTGACTCTAGGCCAAGGATAAAATTTGCACCATCACATAGAGGAGACTTGGACATAAGATCTCGCAGACTCGTTCTCAAATTTTGTAGTGCGGAAATGTCAGAGGCCAACTGCAGAGCCAATTGAACGTATTCATCTTCGTTTTTGGCAATCAAACGCTCCAGTCCTGAATTGTAACAAGTGAAATATTCAAGAGTTTTAGTGGTGATGCCAAAGATGCAATAAAAATATGATGCTTTACAAATTAGAAGACAGACTGAATAATTCAATACCCTCTCCCAATAAAGAAACACGATGAAAAAGCACAACCATGCAGGCACATAGACAAACAAACACAAGTCCACCTCAGGTAATAGAGGAAACATTGAAACTCTAAAGCTTATAGCACACATGCAAAGATCTGATGAGAGTAAAAGAATTGCACATACTACTTGGCCCAGGCAGACAGAAATTAAAATAAACCCATAATCCAACAAAATTGCAAATGTAATTGACATTGGGCAAATGAATTATTAGAATGATTATAATGCAGGATTCTAAAAACTTGTTCAAGCCCTTTAAGATAAACAATGCCATGTGACAACCATCAGGTATCAGCGCCGGCTGTCCTTTGCGATAAAACATTCCCCATCCCAAGAAATTTACCAATTCGGACTCACTGATTCCAAGTAAAGTGACTTATCCACTACCAGTTCGACAAGACTGAGATGGAGTTCAAATTTCGTGCCAAAATATCACGATTTGCCAAACTATAGACAGGTTTATTCTCAGTATGACTTTCTTAGCATTTTTTTTCCTGATAGCGTGAGTACCAGAATGTGCAATGAATACCATGAGGGTATCAACTATAAAGCAGAGTCATATTTGTTATTCAGAGGACAAAAGTAGGATAGACCTTTTTCCTAAAAAGAACTACAGAAAGTGCCAAAAAAAGAACACTATATGAATCCAATGCAGCAGCAAACAAATAATATTGCTCATCAAAGAAAAGAACACTATATGGCCCAATATTATTACAGAGAAACTAAATAAGAATTTAATATATAACTTTAGGAAAGACAAAAGGTTGAACTTTTTGAAACTAGTCTAAACTTGCAGCAAAACATGGAAGTTTTAATGACACTTCCCAAGCACTATTTGGCTAGATTAAGGACATTTCACAAAAGCACAAATTAAATGAAACAACCGTTCATTTATTGGGAAAAGATACATAAGACAATTAATAAATTGACAATAAACAAATATTCTGAAGAGTTTCTCACCAACTTTGCTAATAAGACTAACACCAACATTGTGCGCGTGTACTGAGCCAGCCATAGTGACACATGGAACTCCCATGTATAAAGATTCACATGTAGTGGTTGTTCCAGCATATGGAAATGTGTCCAAACTACACAAAACAAGACATGAGAGTTTACGAAGGGGTATGAGACTAGCCACATGACCAAACACAGTGCATAACATCCTTTCATTGGATTTCAGAGATATATGCTGCTCTGACATCCATTTTTCTAGAAATACAAATAATCAACAATAAAATAATAAAAACATTGGTCATGATTCATGAAGTAAGATTAAAACCACTGCATGTGAAAAGCCTATAAAAATAAAGTTATAAGCATAAGCTAAATAAAATTTTAGTTTTTAACATTCAACAAACTAAACAAAAGATATGTTTCGAACATATCAAACAGCTTATGTTTTTGAAAATTAAATAGGCTAAAAGAACCATGTAACCAACAGATAACCTTGCAATCTCTGTTTATTAACAGAACTTTCAATAGTGCTTTTGCATGCTATTCATATGATGCAGTCCCATTATGGCATAGCCACATAACTACACAGCTAAACTATGTCAATGAACGGTAACGCTGAATTCTTTAAATTTCCAAAAACTATGTCTAATAATTTATGTGCCTGTAACCCTGTACTATATGGTAATTGGCTTGAGAAAAAAAAATTGTTGAAATGATTTTTAAATTTTATGATACAAACAAATTTATAAGAGAAAGCTATTAATTTAAATGATGTCACGTGGTACCGGAGAGATGCAAGTTTGCCAGATTGCAGCCATATCTAATTCACAGACAAATTAAAGATTAACAGATTCAAGCCACTACCAGCAATAAGAATTAGAAGAAGCATTAAAGATTGAAAACATAGGAGATTAAAAAGGTTGTAAAATTACTAAGAACATTCGGAAAAAACTGAAGTGCTATTCATAAAACAAGACTTGTAGTCAACACAAACAAAATATGCATGAATCAATTTACTAAAAAAAAAAATACGCATGAATCACAAAATGTGAGCTTAAGCAGGACCATTAAAACCCTAAGTAATACAAAAAAGAGATATTACCTGATGTCCATCAGAGAATATGCTTGCATATGATCATGGTTTAGAAGAATAAGGGGCAAAAGATCAACACGTAGCGGTTCCAAACCTAACTGCTCTAGTGTTGAAAGGAATCTTTGTCTCACACTGTCACAGCAAAATGGTTTACATTTTACCACAAGGCGAGAATTTGGAATAGCACACAGTATCCTTGCCCAAACCTGCAATACTTTAGGAGTAATCTGATGAAATAAAAAGAACACACATGTTAGGGGCTATATGACTTATGTTTCACAATTTGTTCCCGATAAACAAAAAGGGTCATATATGTAACATATTTAACACAACCGATACCTTGGCAAGATTGTTAAAACTACCAAATGTAATGAAGCCATTAGAAAGAGCGGGAGTTGGACAAACAGGACCAGCCTCAGGTGAAGGGGTGTAACAAAGGAAGCTTTCTGGCAATCTAAGTAACTCCTCAACATGCCTGTAATTTAGGAAAAGTACCATAAGCAAATAAACTATAATAAGAGTTATAGAGAAGTGTTCTAGTACAGATCAATGACAAGAAAGTACTGAAGTTCTTGAAGAGATCTACTTCTGCTTTGTTTCAGGAGGGTCAGCCAGTGAATCAGTGATTCTATAATCAATTGTAGGCAATCCTGTTGTATTGGGATAACCAATCCAAGTCACCTGAGTGTTAAGCAACATGAGTCACAATTTTGCATATAATGATAGCAAAATGCATGTTGTTATGAATGATACATGCCACTTCATATCACAAGCTTGATAGCTAAAAATTTAGCACTGCTTGCATATATTGAGATCACTAAATGTGGCATTGAAACAAAAGCAAAGATTAAAGGCATATATGGAAAATAAATAGTTATAACATCTATGGAAAATAAATACTGCTCGGTAGCTAGGATAAACAAATCACAATTTCTATTCAACCAGCTCCCTAATTTTTATAAACAAAAAAAAAAATCATAATAATTCACAGCATAATACATCGGGAGAAATGTGAAATAATAACATGCTAGAAATCACACTGCGGCATCCAAATTATCGAGCATCACAAAAACAACATAATAGTAAATAGAGGTAGGAGTAGGACGATAAACAGGGATAAAAGATATAGTAACCAAAGGTAAGAAGAGTAATAAGCCAAAAAACAAAGGGATCAAATCCATATATAGACATGCTGAAGTCTAAACACACCTGAATTGGTGCAGGTCGACATGCCATCATGCCCAACTTATTGTTCGCAGTATGACCTGTAAGTTCTACCAAAATATCAACTTGATCTTCTCTAACCATGTTGGCAACCTTCTTTTCATCAATCCCATAAATATCTTTCCAGATACCACCCTTCTTTAAGACTTTCTCTCTAAATTTAATGGTTTTTGCATCTGCCTGCAATATCACATGAAAATCAATTCCAAATTATATGGAAAAAAGTCAAAATCAGAGATATTGATGACAAAATAATGAAACAAAGTCAGAATATTAACAATAATGTAACATAACTCGTTACAAATTCTAAAAATGTGTAAATTCTGTTAACGTAACCAAAGTCAGAATGTTAACCCAGCTAGCCATTAGTACCAACAAGCCAATTTGAAGAGTTTCTTGAAAATTGGTCTTTCAGTAAACTATTGTAACAGCAATTTTCAATGAATCATATTCTTTTCCCCAAAAAAAATTGTTAAATCATATCTGACAGACAGAATCACAAAATAATCAATATCAATAAAGCATAATGAAATTTTGGTCAAACTAGATAAACCAAGCTAGAAAAGAGTGCGACAATAGCAAACTAAGTGCAAACTTCAACCAAAAGAAGAAAATTGCAATTTTTTTAAATAAGAGACATAATGCAAAAGATAAAGAGCCCAAATATTTGGACAAGCAAAATGTATTCAAGCAGGTTCACACTGATTAATGCACACTGGAATCATTCTGGACAGATAAGCCATAGGAGCCCAAGCCACTATAATTGATAGAGTGTCCTCATTTAGAATGTAATCCACAATGCAGGATGAACATCAACTTGAATGGTTGACTAGTGCAAAAGCAACTATAGCCACAACCCATGATGGAAAGTAATATCAGCACCAAGGACCAGAGTAATTACAACCAGAGGGTGTCTTATAAAATAATAATAATAGTAACAACAACAGGAAGTAGAGGGGGGACTGGTGGGTTAGTTCCCACTGAATTTCCTGCAACAGTTTGGTGAAGAAAGAGAAAAAGATCTTCCTCCAGCCAGCAATATGGTATATTGTTTTTTACATTCCCAGTGCCAATCCATCTTAATTGATAGTTGGTACTGAAATAACATAGATATGGACATTCACAATTGGTACCCAATTTCACCCGTAAATGGCGTTCTTGCTATGTACCCACAAGGAAGATATAAAGGCTGGTGAGTAAGATAGTGGTACCCGTGCCAGTCTCTTTAGTTGCTTAATGAATATTAGCTAAGATAAAAATCAGAATATATTAACACTGTATAACCTATTAGATATATTAGAGACATAATATAAAATGTGTCTTCACCTAACATCTTAAGTTTTTCGTATAGTTGGTTCATGACATGGTACCAGAGCTTCTCTAGTTCAAATCCTTCCCAATCATTCTTTCAAATAAAAAAAAATGAAATTTCAGCAGGTATGTAAGCTTGTGCATTATTTACGCTTCAAGCCCAAAGGATTCCTGCACCGGGGAGCATATTAGAGATGTAATATAAAATCACTTATATGTCTTTACCTAACAGTTTAAGCTTTTAGGATAGTTGACTGATGACAAGATCAATTATGATCGAAAATAGAAGAAGAAACCAAAATGGGGAACCAAAACTTGAACTAAATATTTTATCTATGATTATAGTTCAATATTGTGTTGAACTACCTATTGATCCATCAGTTTGAAATGTTGGAAAACAGGACCAGCAATGTACATGAAACTAACTGAACAAAGGTAACCACACTTCCTAAAGCAAATATTTCTATCTCCTAGAACTAAAATCATTCATATAGATTGAGAATCTTTCTCTTCAAGATACTCTAGATCACCCATAACAAAAAATTGTCAGTTACAGTTAAGAAAGAACAAGTTCAAGCTCTTCCAATATTTGTTGGACATTTCTACTATTAAAGAAAGTGAAACACCATATAAACCTTTGATAGCCAATCAATTTTGGTTCTTAGCTGCAAATATAGTTGAATTAAAGTTTGAATTTTAAGAGAACACGAGAAAATGTTATGCCAATGGTCTAGAGTAATGATTAGATGCACGGAAAATACATTAAGATAGTTAGGTATTGCGATTTGCATACATGAATTCATAACTGATACCTTGACAACTGCAGAATAAACAATCACTTTATAATTGGTGTAGTCATGATAGACAAGGGGAGCTTCTATGAAATATGACACAGAATGAGTAAAATAATCAGGTGATACATATCCTATCACAAGAGGCCGTTCAGGATCTTTTGAGTTGTCCCATGATGTGTACTGTGGATACAATCTCATAAATCGCCTACCCCACTCCCTGCATGGAAATGATTTTTTATAGTCTCCAAGCTACATATCCTATTTTTGTACATGAAGTAAATTGCTACACATAACTGTAAAATATCATGAATGACAATTTGCCAATTAAAACTATCACTCATCAAAACCATGCAACAGATAGATCACATAAGTATTGCTTCCAGAGCCAACATAAAGCAAATGTTGACGCGGGTTTATATTCTACATTAAGTGGAAAGTTACTATTTAAAGGTTTAATTTGACTACTCTCAATATCACACTAGCAGCTTCCTTTGGTGTAAATAGACATTAGAGAGCGCAAGAGCATTTTCTTCAAGCTTTTACTGAAAAAGAAAGTATTTCTGTGCTTAGAAGTTGACAACCAGCACATATTTCATCTTACCAATGCATGCTAATTGATCCCTATATTTAGAACAAGAAATCATTATTTTGTCTTTAAAACTTAATCAAGGTCTGACTGTATATTCTTGCTTTTCTTTCCTAATAGAAGCTACCCAGAAAAGCATTTTACTCAATACTCTTATTTTTCTTCTTTTTTTCCATTATCTTTTTATGCACTGGACCACAGCTAATAAAATTGTACAAACCATTACTCTAGGTTGTCAGTAGCGGCCTGTAGCGCCGCTAAACCGCTACCGTAGCGGGTAGCGGCAGTCGGCCGCTACAAACCGCGATGCTACGCGACATTGGCCGTAGCAGAAGGTAGCGGCGTAGCGTAGCAGCAATACCTCTACCCGCTACACCCGCTACAACACTCCCATGTTGGAATTTGATGGAGAATCCGGAGATGATGATGATTTTCTTTATTAGTCCAGTTCTTGTACTTGACTATTTGACAATTTTATTGTTCAGTTGTGTTTAATTTTGGATCCTTCCTTTATGTTCCTTGTATTTGACATTGATTGTGGAATTATGTGTTTGATTTTGTGTGACTTCTTATGTTTGAGCATTAATACTAAAAGCAGTATTGCCTCGTTTCTTGACTGTTAGTATATTATATGTGGAATTAATACTTCACCGTAGCGGTAATACCGCTACCCGCTACACTGCTATACCATTTTCGGGGTCAGCCACTACCGGCCGCTAACTGCTATTGACAACTATGCCATTACTTTATCTCCACCAGCATAATGCAGATAGAATATATCTTTCAGGCAATAAATAAAAGTAATTTTTTTCATCACCTGAGGAAATTAGATATGTAATTGAACATTTATGAAAAATCAATGAAGTTGATTAAATATTATAGATAATGAAGTTGATCAAACACTACCAATGATCAAAATTTAAGTATACAAGGTCAGTCAGTGGAGAAAGCAACAACCTGTGAACCTCAAAAAGTGTGTCATCAATTCCTTCATCTATGTAATTCATTGCAAGCAAGCGGTTCTGCATATTAAGGTGGATTAAAATGAGACATAAAATACTGATGAAAATAGCTCCAACAATCAAAAAGTGAGATAATTCTTGCAAAAAAAGAAATCCATTCATCCGCCCATTGTATTACAACTAATGTGAATATGACAAAAACAAGTATTCAAATTATGATCAAAATATTTGAATTGAAACTAAAAATGGCACTTTCAATATCACTAATACCCAGCTGAAGCAGCTGAACAACCTTTTGTTATCATGTCAACTTGAACTCCCCTTCACTTTCTTATGAAAGCCATGAAAAAAATAGAACCAGAGACATGGAGAGAAAGGTAGAGTGGGGTGGGGAGAATCTTCTGGCTTCAAGGATACTTATGTGGTTCCCCATTCTCCAGGATAGGTATATAGGCTTCCCATAATTGATGAACAAATCCAAGAAAGTAACAATTGCAGAAGTAAAAGAGAGGCAGGCTTGCAAGCTCAATAATTGGAAGGCAAACCATTTTAGTGGCTTCAGCAATACTAGTGTATACGATGTCCTGCTTTAAACTCCTAAAAAACCCTTTGTCGAAATTTAAATAGATTGGAGGCAAAATTTTGGCAGGGGTAAAGAATAAAAGGGAAAAAAATGACAAAATGGGTTAGTTGGAAAAAGGTTTCAGACCAAAAAGCAATATGTGGGTTTGAACTTAAAGATGTTGGGCATTTAATTTCACTAAATTGACTATGCATGGCTGGCATTTACGTAGCAGTAGGGAAATTCAATACAATTTAAATTCTAAGGGTGTCCATACACAATTTCATGGATGCCTAAAATGGTCATTATCCTTCACAAACATAGCAAATAATTCATAAAGGGGGAAGAATCTTGGAGGTCAATAAAGGCAAGTTGATCATAGATGCCATGAAATGGAAGCAAATAATGGTGTAGAGTAAATAAAATAATATTTTCAAAGACAAATAACTTTCTCTGCTCACATAGTCACAGCACTTACAAGTACTCCTTCCTGTTCCCTTTCCCTTTTACAATTCAATATTACCCTGCTTTTTTCTCAATAAAGCCTTACCGTAGACATCTAAAATCCTTACTTTTTTGCCGCTGCCGCCCCAAAATTTTAGCAACTTATACTTTCATACAAGTCACTTTTCACCTTTTAAACCTCAAATTTATCCTATCCCTATAACAAAGATCCCAAACTGCAAGCTCACCCGCTAGAAAATTTAAACTCTACAGTCTACATCATGGGGACCATAATATGTATCTAAAATTAAACTCTACAGTCTACATCATGGGGACCATAATATGCTCACTATGGGCACCATAATCCATCATAATTTAAAGACATGTATCTAGTTTTACATGAATCCCAATTCAGATGGATGTAATCCAGTTCCTAAACAGAAGATAGGGAGACAGGCATTTTAGGTATAATGTTATATATTTAAGTATGCATCTAAACAATTAACAGAACTCATCAAGGATGAAACAATCACCCAATATGCACCATTACCTGGCCAGCATTTCGGGAATCAGGATCAATCTTTAGACATTGCTCATAAGCATTAATTGATTGAGCGATATCACCGGCATCCCTATAAAGAACTCCTGCACAACATAAATACAGAAGATAAGCATATCTTGAAAGATGTGCTTAGATTTTCACTGCCTTGTGCCCCTTGCAATAAAACATTTTGTGATTACATGCAAAGAAAAAGAAAATAATAGATCCTGGTATTCACACTGGAATTATACAGAAAGTATACAGCAATGCTCTATTACAATAGCAAGAAAACAGAAAGAAACAGCAGACGAAAGTAGAAAATTAAGATGGACTCAGAGAAGCACGGGTTGCTACTTGCCCCAAGGCCTAAGCCTCCCCAATTCCCATCACAGACTCAATGCCGTCATCTGGTCCAGCTTCCTCCATCATATTCTTTCCACTCCCCATCCTTCCCACACCCCTTCAACAGTGCCCTGTAGCCACCTGAAATACTGTTAGACTCATCCCTAACATCTCGCACACATTTCCTATCCTGCCCTTTTCTTCCCTGCTTCTATTCTTTCTCTGGTAAACCCAAATTGAAGGCCCAGGGATGCCTATCAATAGCCCCACCCAGTGAATTCCATCTCGTCCTCAAGGTGCAATTCTGGGAAAGATGCTTGGGTGAGAGTAAAATCTTCCCCAAGTGATGTAATGGTGAGGCAGTGAGCCCACTTAATGAGGACTTCAATGTCCCCATTTATTAACCTTTGCATATGCTAAAACTTCTTCAGGTACAACCCGCAATTCCCAGTCTTCTACGAGAAAATATGGGATTTGCTAGCTGTATTGAATAAGGCCAGTTCAAGCTGTGAAACATTGAAAATAGGGAGTAATATTGAGCACTCAGGTAGTTGCAGCCAATAAGCCACTGTGCCAATTATGTATAGTACCTGAAATGACTCTTATCCCTCCAATAGTAATTAGTCCCCCATAACTTCAATATGTTGGTATGCTACAGAGATTCAGCAGCAGGTTCATCTCTACTTCAACTTCCTCCACCACCTTGGCCTCTCATCCTCCTCCCCAAGCAAGATCACATGCAGCTGCTTGTTGCAGCATACATGGCCGGAGAATACCAACATCATAGCGAAAACATAGGCCCCTTCTTCTCTTATCATTTTCTTCATCCTTTGTTAATTTATTAAACCCCATTCCTCTCCTATTGCCGCTGTCCAGACCACATATTGGGCCTTGTGGTCCACTCCCTTCCTCCTATCATGTCCTGGATCCCAATTCCTCTAAGGTCAAAGCTGGTCTCACGACATTGTAGCTGTACCCATAGGTTGTGCTCCCCACTAAACCTGTGTTTCTCTGACTCTATCTTAATTTTCCCTTTTCATCTTCTGTTTCTTTCTGTTTTCTTTCTACTGTAATTAGAGCTTTGCTCTATACTTTCCCTTTAATTCAAGTGTGAATACCAAGATCTATCAGAAAATGAAAACAAAAAATCCATAAAACATTTTGGGGAAAGAGGGGGGCAACTTGCAGAACTCTCCAAGCAAAGAATACAAACACAATTCAATTTTTTCAAAATTCTTGCACAGAACATTTTATAGCTCAAAATGAAATTTCACAGCAATTTTAGCTTTCTTATCCTTGCTTCAGTTGTTCTAATATCATTTTAAAACAAGTTTTTTTTCTGTACATATTTCAAAATAAGCTTTATAACCAACTATTTGGTTGATTAATCTCTTGGAATATATACATTTATATAACCATTCAACTACCACAAAAAAAGACCTAACCAAAGAGATAGCAGACATGTTTTACTTGTGTTAGAGAATAAAATAAGTGGTTATTTACAACTTGTATGCATTCTTTGTTCATCATTGACCATGTTGATAAGTCTAAAATGTTCTCAATTACTATAATGTTTTCAGGTTACATTACTGAGAAATCTGACAGTTAAATTGATCTTTAGCAACCAGGAAGCTTAGAAAAGTCCAGATCAAAAAACCGATCACACATTTACTCATTAATCATTCATTCCACATTTAAATATTTAATCGACCCAGTATAACCTAATTAAAAAATTATGCCAGTAAAATGTCAATCATAAATTAGCACAACCATGACACACACAATCGCTAAGTGTGGTAAAACCATAATAACCAAACAGATAAATAATTAGAGGAAGAATAAAAAATACCTAGGTTATTGTATGCTTCTGCATATGTTGGATTTGCAATGATTGCTTTCTCAATCATACTTGCAGCAGCATCCATTTTACCCTGGAGAAGGAAGAAAAGATAGTCACTTAATGAAGATATTTGATAACTCCAAAATTCAAGAATTATGCAATACTTAACCTGGACAGTGTATACAACACCAAGGTTATTTAATGACTGTGAAAAGTTAGGTTTGATTGATAAAGCAAGCTGCGTAACAAAAATAATAGGTTATGATTATAAATCTATGCAATCCAACAGGAGTGAAAATAAATTGACATGATCATCACTGTTACCTGGTAACATTCTACAGCTTTATCAAGATTGTCACGATCTTTATATATAACTCCAAGATTGTTACAAGCTTCCGCACAATGTGGATTGAAGTGAAAGGCAAGTTCATAGAATACAATAGCCTAAATTGTAGATTGAATTTCCACCAACAAAATTAGTATGGAATAATATGTACATGTGTGATGTATCTTAATGTAATACATGCAGATGTGCAGGTAGGAACATAGGCACGTGAGTGTCAGAGACATACCATATCAAACTTAAGCATCTCACCATAAGCAACCCCAAGATTATACATGGCATCAGCATAATGCCAGTTATAATACAAAGCTTTCTTATAAAAAGCCACACCTCGGTTGATGTCCCCCTCCAATTTAACCTATCCACCAAAATAATTCTCTCAGTAAGATAGCAAAGATCCAAATATGTCAAGGTATCTCATTATATATGGGAAACAAAGATAATGATAGAATGGTGCTTCAATAGATGCACTTTAAAGGGCAGCCCAGTGCACAAGACTCCCACCATTGTGAGGTCCTGGAGGGTCAAATGTATGCAGCTTCCCTCCCCCAAAAAAAAAAAAAATAAGCAACGAAGCTGTGTCTGTGGCTAAAGCCTGGGACCATTAGATTACAAATCAGCAACTTGCTGTTGTGCCAACTGCCAAGGCTCACCCTCTAATTGGCAAGGGGAGATTAAAAACATAAACTGGCTAGCAGTAACTACTGGACTCAAGTCAGAACTTAGAATTTCACTAAAATTGCTTCTCGATTCACTAGGAACTACGAGACTGTATTTCCTTAAAGCCACTGTAAAATCAAGTTGATGTTAAAGGTGTCATTTCTTAAGCAACAACTGTTGTTTCCACCCCTATCCAGCACACAATTTTACATTGCATTAAAGTCGTTCTAAAAAAATGACAATCTCCATTATGATTCATTATATCATCATTGCATTAATATTATCAAGGATGAACTGTCCCTTCAGAAGTTTTACAATAAACATGGTGATAATTAAGTATTTTACCTTTCAATTAAAACAAGAAAAAGGACATAAAATATATATATATATAGCAATAAGGCTTCTAAAAAGCAATTATCATATTGTAGGATTTCGGATGTGTCACCTTCGTTCCCAAATCTGTCAAAGCTATAGCCATATTATTCTTTGCAATCTCGAAGTTGGGTGACACAGCTAAACACCTACCATAAAACATCAACTGATCATTAGAACCAAGAAGTCAAGTCATTAAATAACAAATAAATACATGCAAAACTTGGCTCAGAAAAGCAAGACCAAGCTCGAGATATGTAGAGTACCTCTCATAACAAGTAATAGCTGCTTCCAAATCACCGCGATTTTTAAAAATCACACCCATGTTGCAATACGCTTCAGCGTACATAGGCCTCTCTGACGCGGCCTTTTCATAGAAACTGAGGGCCATGTCATATTGCATCATTTCAGAGTACACCACACCAAGGTTATAATACGCTGGCTGCAAGCCCGTAACAAAAGAAAAAAGATATATCATGCAAACAAAAAGCAAAATAAATTTTAACAGGGTTTAATGATAAAACCAAAGTATCTAGAATAAGAAAAAATTACAGCATAGTGCGGATCTATTTTAAGGGCTTCAAAATATTTTTGAATTCCCTCCTGAGTGTTTCCTGCAAGCTTTATGTTGGTACCAATATCTGTTAAAACAATGGCAAGGCATTCGGAAGCTGCTTTGTTTGAAGGATCCACTCGTAAAGCCTTCTGGTATGACTGTTCCAAGTAAATCAATTGATTAACAGTGATGAACACCGGACAAATTTTCAATTAACTTCTATAAACACTGGCATGGTAAAGATATAAAACAAAAAGTAAAGAGCCAGCTAAAATTTTGTGATATGGGCAAGGGGAAAATGTAGCACGAAGGATATGTAGATTAAGCTAAGCATACCTCATTATAACCTAAAACCAGACATAGCTGAGAAAAAATAACCAATTGGAGCCCTGTACCTAACATCTAAAGTAATGATGTAACGTTTGGTCTCATAACACGTCAAAGCCATAACTAGAACAGACAGCCCTGAATAATTACAGGAAAATTCATCCCTTTATCTACCAAAGCTATCAAGTAAACTATGGTTGCAACAGGGAGGCAATGAGAGACTGAATAGAGGTGGGTAAGCCTAAGAACCTTCTGTCAACACATGTAACTCCTGATCACTTTATGTACTAAAGTTCGGTGTCAACAAACTTAAGCATGAACTTATTGAACTCAGTTCTAAGTGATCGTCCAAACAATAATTGTGATGACGCATGCACGCAGGCTATGTACAATCTTCTCATTTGAAGTCAAGTGGGCTTAAATTAGCAATTCATTTTTCAAAGGTGCCTTCCATTCTTTATGTAATTTGCACATTTACCTTTGTAAGGTGAAATTCGACAACACAGTCAAAATAAATTGCAGACCAATAATTTCGGTAATGTTAGCATAAACTGTCACAAATATCCAAGTTCAACAAGCACTACCATTTCTTCCTGCTAATTTACTTACATTGAATAGAACTACAACTTTGAGAACTTTACTAACAATCACATATACAAGACACAATCAGAGTCTGGTCATAAACAATATACATAGACCTGTATTATGTGCCACAATGAATCTATTATTATAAATTCCTTATCACCTCGAAATATGATGAATTTCACCATAGAGCTATTAAACTATCATAGACATACCTCAGCAGCCTCGACAAGGCGACCCTCCTCCTTGTATAGAATACCGCAATGCGTGAGGGCACAAGCATTTTGAGGATCGAGCCTGATAGCCTCAGAGAAAGTTTCAAAAGCAAGCCTCCCCATGTTCTGCATCTGCAAGCATATCCCTTTTCCAATGAGAGCCTCTACATTTGCACTATCCTTCTCCAGAACACGCTCGTACAGAGCAAGAGAATCAACAAACTTGTTCCTAGAACGCAGGATGTTTGCATAAGAAAGACTATCTTTCCCTTCACACCCAGCACCACCAGCAGAGCCACTAGCACTAACAGAAGGCTCTGAAACTTGCACAAAACCATTATCTCCCGCTAATTCCCTTTCACTCGCACGATTCCCGTCATGATTTTCCATCTCTGCCATCTGCACAAACGGAATTCGAGTAATATAGTCAGAACTCGTCAACACAAATTGATCGCATAACAAACCCTAGCAAACAAGAAGTAGAACTAAAGAGGATTGAAATAGATGAGAAATTGAGGAAGAAATTAGGGTTAGGGAAGTTACAGAGTGCGAGCGAGTTCAAGTGAAGGAAGGAGCACTGGAGCAGAGTGAGCGGAAAGAAATAGAAAATAGAGAGTGAAATTAAAGGGTGAAGAAGAAGAAGAAGGTAGTTGGAGAGAGAAGGAAGTAGCAGAGTTGGGAGGACTCAATGGGAATTGACAGCAACTCGCTCCGACACAGAGAGTTGGATGTGCGCCAAACCCAGAGGCCCTCTTGTAGAGGTTCCTTGCTGTTACAACATTGGGGTTGGGGGACAACAAGCTTTGTTTCTTTAACCCCCATTTCCCTCTTTTCTCTCGCCAATTCTACACTGAATAATCACATGTTTAATTCTGCGTCTGTTTTTTTTTTTTTTTTTTTAACACAGGTCAAGAAATTACTGTGAAGAGATTTCTTATTTCAAGTTGTCTAAATCAATGATTTTTTTTTATGGAAAAAGTATTTTTCGTTTTAAATAACATAATTTGTGTTATTTTTTTATTTTATTTTTAAAATTGATTCTAATTGAGGCGAATCAGAATTTCTGGTATCCTCACATGTTCGACTCTTTGAGCCTAATCTAGAGTTTGGGTGCGAGTACAAGGATTACGATACTTATGCTCTCTCCATATGGTGTTGGTGGGATTCGAACCGAGGTCTTCTCCCACCACTCAGTCAATTTGTGTTATTTTATTTTATAAATAAATGAGACTCACATCTTTATTTTCTTTTTTATCCACTCTCTTTTATGATCTATCTCTTTTTCTTATTTAAAATGACATAATTTTACATCCTTTAAAATTAGTACATTACCCGTGTAATGCACAGGAAAAAAAGATCAAAAAATTTGTTGGAAAATGTCGTTGGTTAACCTCTAAAAAGAAAGAATCATATCATTATTTTGTGCTATTTTTGGAGTAGAAAAAGTTACAACATCTATAGAGAACTACGTGAATATCAACCATAAACAAAATTCTACAATTAAGAAACATCAATTATTATGCAAATCAAATATAATTATGTACTAAATAATTTAGTATCTTCATATACAGCAATGCATATAGCAAGAATAGTGATAAAATGCATATTGTCCTACCAAAGAAAAATAATCAAAAAATAAGTAAAAGTTCTTGCGTTCAATAGAACAATTATCAGCGTTCGTTAAGTGATACTATTGAGATTTAAACTTATAATCTCATATAAATTATTAAATTCTAAGATCACTAACTTAATTTTAATAATTTGCTAGGTAGTTAAATTTGCCCGTGAGAAAGTGAACAAACATTAAGAAATTAAAACACACTCATCAGTGAATTTTTTTTTTTTTTTCCTATAAATTTTACAGTATGTAAAAACTTATTTTGGCAACAATGATGCAAATTCCTCTAAGCAAAAAAATGTGACGACAAAATTGAAGCTGTTTAGAATTTTTTTTATTTTGTAAAGTACAAACGATAATAAAGGTGTTTGTTCAATACAGTCACCAAATTATTGAGGGGGAGAAAAAGATTAAAAAAAAATTAAGAATAGAAAGTTCATTACACTAAAATCCAAAAATGTGATTTAAGCAAAAGTTAGGGTGAAAAGGGCAAAAAAATTGGGATAAATTTTTTCTACGAAGTCAAATTAACGGTAAGTTTAATAGAGCTTTTAGCTACTTGAGTCGGCAATAAATTGGGATAGATTTCAGATTTTCATTAGACCTCTGGGTTATGAGAAAAAAAAACAAGGGGGAAAAAAATGAGAAAGAAACATAAAAGGAAAAAGTAAGAGAAAAGAATAAAAAAAAATAATAAAAGAAAACCGAGTTAAGTGATTAGAGGATTGGTGAAAACTTTCAGGTAAGTAAGAGTTAATTTTTTAACAAAAATTGTTATGATTGTATTTTATATTTGTTTATACTCAAATAATATTAGAAAATTCACTTTTTTTTAAAAAAATCTCTATACACATACTATCTGGTTTACATTTAAATTCAAAGAACATCTTATATTAGGTTCTCAAATTCAGATAATCCAACCCATAATTGCAAGAATGGAGCTTTACCAACTGAGCTAAATATAAAATAATTTGTCATTTAACTCACGTGATTTCAAGCCAATGTGACATTTTCTGATTTTAAGAACCTAGGGTAAAGCTACATGCTAACACTTTAGAATAATATGCATCCCCTCACTTTTACATTGTTTTTGCAACTAATTCAATAGCTTCACTTAATAACTAAGGAGACATATGTAACTTAATGGTTTTGAAGATTCATCAACATTTAAATAAATTATTTATGAATAGTCCCTATACAACGGATTGTCACCAGTTTCATCAGACAATTGACTACATGACCTAATATTTACTCTTCACAGAAAAATAAAATATCTTTCTTTTTTTTTTGGTAACAATAAAATTTATTTACAACAAAATATCTTTGTTATCATGTTAGATGTCTACATTTCTATCATGTCAAATATCCACTTTATATGTGATTCCCCATGTGTAGGCACATTTTTCATGCTTACAAAGTAATAATCTCTATGTCTTCTAGTTATTTTATTTGTTAAATAACATGGTCTTTTTTATTATTGTGTCCCTCATTCATTAAAAGATAATTAATTAATCCCTCACCCAAAATATTTCATAAGTCTGCAACTGTTTCACCGTTGACTGAAAGGTTTAATGGATTACAATATGGACGTAGTCAATTAAATCTTAAAAAAACGTTGGTCATTGACCCGTGATGTAATGGATTACAGCACAGTGTGTAATCGATTACATAACGCCAGAAACTTTATATTCCCTGTCTCATTTCACTTATACCCATTTGATACACTAAAATCTCTCTCGTTTCTCATATCCATTCCAACTCATTAGATTTTATTTCATCCCACCATCTCTAAAGTCTTTATCTTGTTAAATCATTGTCATTACAAGAGGCATATTCCATTTTTGGTAAAATTTGAACCCAATCCCAAAAATTCGAACCCTACTCCCCAATTTCGTGTGAAAGATAAGCTCAAGTTCAAACACCTATGTTACACTTATCTATCACAATGGGAGGCATTTTGAACCTCCCAATGGTGTCCAATTTGAAGAAAAAACAAAAATGATGAAAATCAAATGGGGCACTACATACAATGAGCTCAGGGGGAGAATTTACCAAAATTTTGAGCTACAAGACAGCTAATGCATTCATCGGTTGATTGCCAAGGTAGAGACTACAGTTGGTAACGATACTGTATACTGCATTAGTAGCGATATTTACGACGATGAAGATGTGGAGTGTGTCATAGATGCATTTGCTAACTGAAAATCTCAAAATTTTATTGAGATATATGTTAAAGTTGATTTTGGTCAGTCTTCATATTTACCTATGCATATAAGAACTCCACAATATTTTGGTCGAGAAGACAAAGTTGTCGGTTTATCTGCATTTGCACAAGCGTTAAGTCATATAACATTGCGGGGGGGGAGATGAAGATGGGGAGGAGGATATGGACAGCGATGAGCAGGGAAAACCTAAGAGTGTTATTCCACCAAGTGACACATCAGATACTGACATGGAGGGTGATTTTGACGTTGACACAAACCCAGTAAGCCCGAGTTCCCCGGCTATGTCACCACTCCACTTCATGTTGACCCAGGTAACAGTGGTAAGTTAGTAAATTTCAATTTTTATTTAACATTTAATATTTGTGTTGTTATTACTTCTGACAAAAATATCATGCTTTAGATGCAGGGCCTGAGATTGAGTCATTTTGGAATGAAAGTAAACATTATTATTTCATTAATTGGGCGCACCCTAATGACAAGATAAAGATGGTGTATGATGATGATAACTTGCACAGTGGTTGGCAGTTAGGGGATCCATTATATGTGCAACACGAGTTTCATTCCAAATTTGAAATGCAACATGTCGTTAAATTATATTGCATGAAGGATCATTGTAAAAGGATGATTGTGCTTGGTATGTGAGGGCAAACATGTCGAAGAATGGAAATACTTGGATGGTCTGTAAGTAGGGTAAAGATCACACCTACCTGAACCAGGCTTTTGCTCAGGATCATAGACAACTGGATTCAGAGGTTATATGTGCAACCATTATGAGTATGTTTTGTACTAATAGCAGTTACATATGATTTGTTTGTGTTATTTATTTAGTGAAGAATGCTCATTGGCAATATTGCAAACTTGCTTTGTTTTTTACAGGTATGTTAAAAGAAGATCCAGCTTTAAAATCAAATCTGATGTAAAAGAGGATACAACGTATATATGGATACAATATATCATACAAGAAGGCTTGTGAGACAAAAATAAAGAGCATTGTGAAGTTATTTGGTGACTGAGAGAAATTGTATGCATTCTTTCCCAATTGGCTTACATGCGTGACGCCGCGTAATGTTGGTTCTGTCTTCAAGCTTGATACAAATGAATGTTCTAACAAACGTCAAGTTTATACCAACAAGGTCGTCTTTCATAGGGTCATTTGGACATTTCATCAGTGCATTGAAGCATTCGAATATTGTAAGCTCATAATTCAAATTAATGGCACTCATCTGTACGGGAAATACAAAGGAACTATTTTGATTGCGACGTCATATGATGGAGATGGATACATTCTACCAGTTTTCTTTGTTGTTATTCCTCCAAGTGAGAATCTTGAAGATTGGTGGTGGTTTCTTAGCCTTCTAGGTGATCATGTGACATAGAGGCGAGGTATTTGTGTAATGTATGGTCGTCATTCCAACAATATAAAGGCGGTCAAAGAACATGTTAGTTGGCAACCTCCATTTGACTATCGCGTGTTTTGCCTACGTCACATCGGAAGCAATTTTAATACTGAGTTTAGGGATGTGGAATTGAAGAAAACGTGATGAAACTAGGTATAAAATTTCATTAATATGTACTTGTTATGAATTTTCATTATTTGTATTGTACATATTCGAATGCATTGAAACTCTTTGTTTTGTAGGGAACACGAGTTGAAAGATTCATTTTGACATGAGATTTCAGGAATTTACCGACAATAACATAAAAGTTGTTGCGTGGATTAATCGAATTCTGAAAGAGCAATGGTGCAGGTCTTATGATGAGAAGGGACAGAGGTTTGGTCACGTGACAACTAACATATCTGAGTGTGTGAATAAGACCCTCGACGAGTGCACGTAAACTACCGATAACAACATTGGTCAAGATGACGTGCAGTAGACTTGTTGAATATTTCATCAAGAGACGTGATAAGATCCATTTAATAAGATTTCAGGAATATGTCCAAATATAGTGGTACGTGCGGGAAGAACGAAGT